TCAGTTGTTTTAAGTCTTGTGTTGGATGCTAGTATTTGTCCATTATATGATATTGCTAAGTCTTTGTATTGACTTCCTAGTTTGGGTTGAAGCAATGAGGTCATTGCCTCATTCTAAGTGTGGGGGAGTTACTTGGACTTTACATGCTTATGTGGTGGTCCGGTCTAGCATCTAGGTCTCTTGTGTGTCTTGTGAGTATGGATATTGGTGAATTTTAAGTTTTGTGGATAATTGTTGATGAAGTTGAGGAGATGTGATGTTGATCATGATGGCATATTTCGATGAACTTGATTGGTCGAGTTGATTTGGCAATTTACACCTTGTGAGGTTTGAGCCTTGTTTTGTTTCTGTGAGATTTGGTCGGAGTATTGTTGATCAAAACTTGCTTTGAGTCTGTTTTGAAATAAATCGATTGAAGTTGTGGTTCGTGAAAATGATTGAGGCATTTCGTTGACATTGCTCGTTCTAGCCTTTTTCATTGACCCTTAAAGTTATATTGTCATTAGTAGCCCATTGAGTCTTTAGCCATGTTCCTTGTCAACTGTTATCTTTGAAATATTTGAGATTTGACAGAATATTGTATGATGATGACGGAGCGTCTATATGTCTGAATGAGGTTGAACTTGGTTGAATTGCATTTGTAGTGCTTGACAAAAAAGAAAAAAAAAATTGGGGAGTCGCAAGACGAATGGAGGGGATTCTACTCCTCTTACTTGTCGATGTATTTTGATGGGTAATGAGTATTGGAAAACCACACCAGGACACTTGGATGACCTCCAATTTTTGAACCTGGGGAATGTCGTCCTTATGTTTCGTTCTTGTTTTTAAAAAATAAAAAAGAAAAAAATTCTCCTAGAAAAAAAAAAAGAAAGAAGAGAAGAGAGAAAAATTATTATCGCCAGGCATTTCATTTGGAATTCTTCTTCAGCATGTACAAATGTGTATGGAATTTTGGTGGGGATTGTTCAGTTTTGTGTTGACTATGGATAGGTGGCGAGATATTCGAGTAGTTATATGCTCGAGAGTATGATTGTTCATGTTAGCCGTTTTATCTCTATACTTGACCTTCCCTTACCCATGTGCCTTCCTTGAACCCGATAAGTCCTCTTGATTTGCGAGTCCATGTGCTTTGATTGTTTTAGAGTATGAATTAGACAATAAGCAAGCTTATGTTGAAACTTGATTGCCGACCAATTTGAGTGTTTCCATTTCACATCCATGTCAGAAACCGAGTGAGGCATTATATATGATATTTCTGTGCTTTAGAGTTTGTCTTTTCAATGCGAATCATTTGAGTTGCAATTGAGATATGTTTTATTGGTCTTTTGAATTCTCCTCGGCTAAGTCAAATAATTTGAAACTTTTCTTATTTGAAGCTATTATTCATGCTCGTTCTCTTGTGTCTTTTCTTTTCTTTTTGTTCGGGACGAACAAAGGTTTAAGTGTGGGGGAGTTGTTTGTCCCATTTTTGTTGCATTTTTCTTTATTGTTTTGTCTTTCTTTTTCCCACATGTTAGGTCTTTTCATCTTTTTTAGCTCGTTTTAGTGTTTATTGTGTGTTTTGCTCTATTTCGGTTTTCTCTGTGTTTTCCGTATATTTTTCCGATTTTTCTTTGTTTTTGGTGTGCAAGTTAAGGGCCTCGGGAGGATCAAATTCTGAGCAAAAAGCTGACTGTACAAGCGTGACTAAATAGAGTGTTCCGTTGGCAACAAGCAGAAAATAAACGGAATTGAATTCCAAGTAGAAATGAGCTCGAGCGAGACCGAGAAGTGAAAATGGTGCACGAAAGCTTGCAGCTCCCAGACTGTCGCGCTGGCATCGCGTCGTGGCACCTGCCACGAGGTCTTCAGAGAGCAGTTTCAGGTCCCCGTGCCGCGGCATCCGTCGCGCCGCGGCAGCCTGCTCTTCTCCGCGCCGCTGGGACCGTCGCGCCGCGATGCTACCATCTGCCACGCCACTGAGGACCTTCGCGCTGCGATGCTACCATCTTCCACGCCGCTGCACCTTCCCACATCGCGCCAGGCATCTTCTCCGCGCCGCGAACCTCTCACGCAACACCCTTCACGGACATTCAGTGAGCGAGTTTCTCAGCACCACGCCGCGGTGGCCTTTGCGCCGCGGCATCCGACTCTCTTCGCGCCGTGCCACTTATTATCTCACGCCGTGGCCACCTGTTCGTATAAATATGCGCGTACAAGATCAGAAAAGGAAGGTATCTCTCGACCGGGGGATAAAACCCTAGGTCCCAGAAAAACACCACGAGAACTCTCTTCCTCCTTCCTTCTTCTTCTCTTCTTCTTTTCGTTATCTTCTTCTCTTAATCTTTCTTCTCCATCTTTTACCTTTTCTTCTTCTTTTCATTATCATTGAGGAATAAGCTTGTATCTTGGATTCGACATTTGAACTGAGGTTAATCGTAAGAATTTCATTCTCTTATTTAGTTCATGAATAATAATTAATTTGAGAAGAATGATTATTTGTGTTGAATTCATGTTACGTAGCTAATTTCTATCGCTAGGGATAGGGGAATGATTGTTCTTGTTTAATTTGCATCTCTCGGGCTTAAATTTGTTCGTTCTTATGTGAGTTGTTTTGATTAGGGATTGATATATTCTTGCTTGATTGATTGATATAATCGAAGAGTGACACTTCGATCTTGCAATTGGTAACAATTGAATGTTGATTAGTTGAGTTAGGGTTTGTTGATTCTATGTGATTAGTCGATTAATACTATTCTAGTTAAATTAGCGACTTTTTGAACCGAAAGGGGAGAAGTCGTAGAAATAGGCTCACATGAGGTAGATGATTTCGTAATTGAATAGTCTATAGGTTTTCGGTTGAAATACGTGCGAGTCGATGACCCGTCCCTTGTTACGAAAAGTTATTGGGATTGGGATAGTTGGCCCGTATTGTGTGCTCAAGCTTGTACGTCTATGTTCAATCCCTTGTTACGAAGAGTTATTGGGAGTGAACCACTAAATGTCTAAGCGAGAGTGTCAATCTTGAACCGAACAATTGATTGCCTGGTTTTGGTAGAACTTGAATTAATTATCCCCGACCCCCTAGCTTCTTTTTCATTGTTTCGTTCGTATTTCTTAGGTAGATTATTATTTTTATGTTATTTCTTAGCTGATAATTCATCCATCCTTATTTGATTAGAATGTTTAGGATTTATTTTCTTTTTGTGTGTTATCAATATGAAAGCTAAATTCCGAACAGCCTTCCTCGTGAGATCGACCCGGGGAACGAATCTTTTGATTCGGTACTCGGTAAAAAGAATAATTTGTACACAACAACTGCTTGTGCTGCTGCGTTGGCCATCATCTGCTCCATCTCCTACCTGGTCATCGCCACCACCTGTTGACCAGGGCGCTGCTCCTTTCCCTTAGCGCCACCTCTCCTAACGGTTGAACTCCAGTAGGACCTGATTGCGACGGTGTGGGTATCGCTGTCGCCTGCATCGCCCAAGCCTCCTACGCACGACTAGAGCCCACCTCCAACACTGGAACTGCAAATGAAGCTCCCAAACCTTGAGGAGCAGGTGTTGGGGTCACCGGCGTATGCAAAGGTCCGAAGAAGCTCGGAAGAAGGCCAACTCCGAACGACCTTGTCGTCGTCAAAGCTTCATCGAATGACGACTGCAAATTGATTCTGGGAATTCTGTCCGCCATAACCACCAAGCTTAAACAAACTCAGCACACAACTTTCGAATGAAAGTTCCCACAGACGGCACTAATGGTACAGTCGAACACTCCAACCGGCTGAAAATCAACTCGCGTCCTTCCTCTTCACTGATAGAACGCCGAGTACCTGCAAAAACTCTCACACCGGAGGGGTTTTTTGTTGAAGAGCCTCCGACGCTATCAATATCACTTCAAAATCTCAAGTCTCTAAGAGTATAATGGAAATCATGCTCAAAATATAAAGCTCACCCCTATACATAGGGGTGAGATACTTGTTTCAAGATACGCTCGGGTGAGCTGAGCTGACTGCCCATAACTGCCCGTCCGTACACACACAGTGTGCGTGTAGTGGAGACTAATCGGTTCACGCCACGTGTCCTCCATATATGCGGGGTATGATTCTCCTGAGATTTCCTCGAAGGCTCTACTATTCGATCCAGTCTAAGTCAATCCTCGACCTGCTCTTAGTCTATGAAGTGTTTGATCAAATGATCTTTTACTCCACAGGTGGATCTTCGACCAGATCCTTCATGGACCTGAGGCCGACATGTGCTCCCCGCACTTGAATCCCCCGTGCCCTGTTCTCGTGGCGTTCGACCACGACCACTCTACTAGATTCTGTTCGACCAAGACGACTCGTTCAGTTTGCTTGGCTCGCTCTACCCAGCCTAGTGGACCGATTTACTCCTTTAGGTATAATATTTCATATAAGTAACATTCAATTGAATTCGACGTAATATATTGTAATAAACTATGTGTAAGGGAGGGGGAGAAAGAGAGAGAGAGAGAGAGAGAGAGAGAGAGAGAGAGAGAGAGAGAGAGAGAGAGAGAGAGAGAGAGAGAGAGAGAGATTCTTAAGTATTATTTATTGACAATGTTGTTTGAACATGTTAAAATTTCATTATCCTTAATTATAAACATGAACTTTAAAATGACAACTATTTTTTTTAAACGAGTGAAATAAACATATGAATAACATTATTTTATCAGTTTAATACTTGCATTTTATAATTATTATCTCGTTCATGAGTGTTAAGTATTTTGTAAATATAACACCCCTTGTTATTTGATTTATTATTATACGCGGACCCGAAACCTGGCTGATTTCAAGTCGGGTCTCCTAATCTACCCACCCGCAACAAATGAAAAGTTGCTAGGTTTTTGGGAGGGTTTAAGGCCGCCACAATTTCCCGTCTCCTCACCACTCACCACCCTCACTCGATTTCTGCTATCATTTCCCTATTCAAAGTTGCGAGCTTTAGATGCTCCGGAGTTAAAGTGATTTGCCTGCCAGCGTCTTTTCATTTATTCGAAACATGTGGAGACATTTATCGAGACAATCCAATTTGCGGAAGCTCGCAATTTTATCCGAAACCCATCCCTCAATCAACGTGTTTCACGCCGTGAAATCCCCCCAAAGTTCCATTTTCGCTGATAAAACAAGATGCATCGAGCCTCACGGCGAATTGGGCTCCGGTCGAGATTCAATCCTCCAGCGGCAGCCGCGCGAGTTGAGCTTCCTCAGAAATGCGAGCCCCAATTACGCTTTCAGACATTTTGGGACTTCCAGGAGCTACGCCTCTGTGGCAGAGGCTGTAGCGTCCACATCCGAAGAAGAAGCTGAAGAAATCCAGGAACTAATCAACGAAATTGCCAAGCAGACTGATGTGAAGGGCCCCACTGATCAGAAGCAGCAAAAAACGGTGAGCGGCATGCCCGTGGGAAAGTACACCGTTCTCAGGAGGAGACAGATAAAAATAGAGACAGCGGCATGGGAAGAAGCCGCCAAAGAATACCAGGAGCTGTTGATGGACATGTGCGAGCAGAAATTAGCGCCCAATTTGCCGTATATGAAGACGTTGTTCCTGGGGTGGTTCGAGCCGTTGAAGAACGCCATTGTTGCCGAGCAGGAATTGTACAAAGAGGGCAAAAATCGGACGGCTTATGCTCCTTACATCGATCGATTGCCGGCGGATATGATGGCGGTTATCACGATGCACAAGCTGATGGCACTTTTGATGTCGGGGGGTTGTAATGGAAGTGCTCGAGTCGTAAAGGCCGCGCTTAATGTTGGTGAAGCCATCGAGCAAGAGGTGATTTTATTTTTTTCTTTTTTATTTTTATGTTGACTGAACATGTGCTACAAATATGTAGAGCTAATTTGGTGCAATGGCCATAGATGTTCTTGTATGTATGTCGCCTGTAATTGTAATTGTGGGGAGGAGAGTAGTATATTGCGCATAAATAAAAACAATGTTAGCACAATGAAAATATGGAAGTCGACACTTAAAACAAATATGAACTTGCTGGAAAGCATCTCACTCTCCCTTAGGACTCTTTCATTATACTAGTGTGGCCAAACAGTATAGATTGAAATTATACACTAAGACTCTCTCCCCGCTAACCAACTTTACACACCATCAACTTTATTCTTGTGGCCACTGTCTGACTTAGACAACTTAATTTGGAATCCCTCCAAACTGTATAACTATCCTCGTTCCAAGCTCCTGTGAAGAACTAGTGTAAACTTTGAAATATAGTCCATATCGTATCACCGGCTATGAAATACAATGAAATCTCATGAAATTTTCTTAGATACAACGAGTGAATTGCTTACTTTTGAGTTTGTGACCTCTGGCTATACATAAAGTCGACGAAAAGTAGGTTCATCTAAACTTGAGAATCTCTAATTCTTCAAGATCTTCACTTATAACTTTTGTTAAGAAAATCCCCTTTCCTGCGAAGCTATCAGCAATTTGATACTTCTCCAGATTGGCGAGTCTCCATTATCTTCTCAAATTCATTAATATGGAGTTTTCTTCAACTTCTTCATTCTAAATTTATCCTAGATCTTCAACTCCACTTTTTTCCATCAGCTTCTATCTTTAACCCGTGAGAGTATTGTGCTTACTCTTCCTTTTGCTCCATTCATTTTTCGAATCAGTTCCTCTTTCTACAATGTAAGGGAAGGTAATTGACTTCAAACAAATCTAAGGACAATCTATATAATAAGGGAAGATAAGATAAAGAGATCTTTCTTTATACTCTATTACTCTTGCTGTGTTTCCTAGTTACCTATTACCTATTTCGGGAATCAATGAAATCGTGAAGAAATATGATTTTTTATTTAATACCACAATGGTTTTCTTACACAGTCAAATTCTGTGAAATTTGTCCATTGCCATCTTGTCTGTTGCACTTGGTGCGTGACTTTGTTTTGTTTTTTTTTTTTTTTCATTCTTATTAGTCATTATATTTTATTTGGCGTGATATTGACTTGGTGGTAAGAAATGTATATATCCAGTTATAAAGAAAGAAAGAGAAAAAAGAAATCTATGTTGTCCTTTCTGTGATTTTAGTTTCCACCATCTGTAGGTGGGTAAGTGCTTATGTGTTCGTTTATTTCAAGATTCATACTTAATGTGAACTTTAAGTATCCGGGATTAACTGGTGGAATTTGAGCTTTGTTCGCACTTCGCTCTTTCTTGACTTGTTAAATCGATTTCTTGTCCTTTATCAGACAGGGAGGAATTATGGTGGAGAATTTCGATTGATGAGGTTGTTATGTGCTTAGGTTCATTAACTTGGGCAGTTAGATATTTTTTCTCTGTATGAGGTAGCTTTGGATTGTGAAATTTCTGCTAAAGTTTCTTGAGGGCTTATTGCATAATATAATTTAATCTGTGATTACTGATTAGAAGGAAAAAAGTGGTTTAATCTGTTGTAAGTTTCATCTGGCGCTTAGAGGCATAGAGAGATATAAACTCCATCATTACTTGTAAATTAGAAGTTAATGTGCTCCAGGGAATTATCAACATTGTCCCTATTTTTTCTTGCTATGTCTGTGTACCAAGCGTAATTGTGTTATTCACTTTGGCATTTTTACATTTCCAACATATATTACTTGAACTTCACCTTCGGCTGCGTGGTATTTTGAGTTATAAGTGCTTGTATTGATGTTTCAGCACATTCTTAATGCTCTTCCTCATATGAAACGTTCTACTCTATCGAACAAACTGTGAGGAAGTAGAAGATAAGTAGACATTTTTTCTTAAAAAAATGTCTTCTTATCCTTCCCAATATTTTATATAGGATTTCAAGTAAATTCTGTTTCTACTGCTGACTAGGCAAGGATTCACAAATTTTTGGAGACCTGCAACAAGAGGAAACTTTCATTAAACAGACTTGATGAAGCAGACCCTGATGCAAAGAAACAGGAAAAACTGAAAAAAAAGGTCAAAATTTTGATGAAGCAACAAAAGCTGCATCAAGTTCAGAAGATCATTAAGCAATTAGATGATGTAAAGCCCTGGGGCCAGGATGCTCAACTAAAGGTAGTTAGCAAAATACATTTCCTCTCAGTCGCTCTCTCTGTGATTTTGTATGAGTGTGTGATATTTTATGTCCATCACAGGCTTGAAGGAACATTACCAGAGACTAAGATAACATGATAAATGTACCTGTTTATTGTAATATTTTTTCGTAATTTGTTGGACTTTCCCTTTGCATTAAATGCAATCTCTACTTCAATTTTCTGTATTTCAACTAAGTGAATTAAATAAGGGTAATTCAGCGTATTTCAGTGTAATTGAACTATAAATAAAACAAGTGGATCATTTGAAAAGGGCGAAAAGGCAAACAAATCCATTTTACAGACACGGAAGGTATGTTGAGTGCTTAGCAGCCACTCTTGCTTGGAAGTAAACTGAAGTTGCTTATGTTGTATTTTATAGGTAGGCTGCCGTTTGATTCAGATTTTGACAGAAACTGCTTATATACAACCTCCAGCAAATCAAATGGAGGATGCCCCACCTGATGTTAGGCCCGCATTTGTGCACGCGCTCAAATCTATGGAAACATCGTGAGTGCAATTTCCTACCTGACTGATATCTCATGATCTCTTTGTTTTCCTCATTTGTTCACTGTTTGGTTCTTGTTTTCTTTTGATTTTTGTATAGGAAAGGAAGCAGGAGATACGGGGTAATCGAGTGTGACCCTCATGTTCGGAAAGGACTAGAAAAAACTGTAAGCATGGCTCCTCTTTAAAAGTGCTTTTGCTTTGACGCTGACTGCTACGATGTTATTTCCACAAAATCTGCTGAAGCATTTTATTGATTTTTCCTTTTCAGTTATAAATTCAGTTTCAAATTAATTAATCATTTTGGACAACCAAAATATAGTACCAGCAGGGTATAGTCTGTGATTGAAAAAAACTGCTGTTATTTTTTTCATAATTACAAATGCCCCTTTTAAAGTATGTCAATATAATAAAGGGAAAGAAATGTCGAGAGATTGATTTTGCTTTCTGAAATATAACTGGGTCTTTCATAAGTGTGCTAGATCTCAGTGGAAGGTCTTTGCGATTTACCCCTTTTAAAGTATGCCAATGTAATAAAGGAAAGAAATGTCGAGAGATTGATTTTGCTTTCTGAAATATAACTGGGTCTTTCATAAGTGTGCTAGATCTCAGTGGAAGGTCTTTGCAATTTACCCTAATTATTTTGTGCTTATGATATGATATATTCTTCTTGGGTCTGTACAGGCTAGGCACATGGTGATACCATATATGCCGATGTTGGTTCCTCCCCTAGAGTGGAAAAGGTATGCTTTTGGTATCTGTAGGGACTAGTAATAACATTTCAGATTTGTACGATATGTGTGTGTGCGCGCGTGCGCGCGTGCTCGGTCTGATTAAATTTGAATTCTCTTGATAGTTATGAGCGAGGTGCTTATTTGTTTCTGCCGTCGTATATAATGCGTACTCATGGAGCAAAACAGCAACGTGAGGCTGTTAAAAGAGCTTCAAAGCAGCAGTTACGACCTATTTTTCAGGTTAGCTAGTTTGTTTCCTTATCAATTTCTTTGTTACTCGGCTTCAAACAAAATATTATGGTTTATGTTATGTCTTAGTATTCTGTTTCAGCTGCTGTTAGACTTCATTAGCCTGTATTTAAGTTTTATTCTCTTGTACAGGCACTTAATACTCTTGGAAGTACCAAATGGAGGGTGAATAAAAGAATTCTAGGTGTTATAGATAGAATCTGGGCTAATGGAGGCCGTCTTGCTGACTTGGTTGATCGTGATGATGTAAGTACCAATTGTATGACTAAGAGAGCATACTCGAATCTTCTTCTTTCATTTCCAAAAACATTTTGTTGAAGATTTCCTCTCTCTCTCTCTCTGTATGTGTACTTTAATCATAAAGTCAACATTTCCATCTAAAAAGTTACTTGTACATGCTCGAATCTTCTTCTTTTATTTCCAAAAACCATTTGTTGCCGATCTCTCTCTCTTTCTCTCTGTGTACTTCAATCATAAAGTTAACCTTTCCATATGAAAAGTTACTTGTACCGCTCGAGGTTTCCATTTCTGCTTAATATGATGCCTCTTCAGGTGCCCTTGCCGGAGGAACCAGATACAGAAGATGAATCAGAAATAAAGAAATGGAGATGGAAAGTAAAAGGCGTGAAGAAGGAGAACAGCGAAAGGCACTCGCAGCGGTGTGATATTGAACTCAAACTAGCTGTAAGAATCTCCTTAACTTTGGTTGTTGCACCCAAGATAGTAAGAGGTGGCAATACTAAAGCCTAGCCTGGGCCGACCGACATAAGGCCCCAACTGGCCTATTCATTATTGGGCTATTTGATCCTAGCTGATTTACTCAATGAGCTGGGTGGACCATATTAGGAGTAAAGAGTCAACATAAAGAACTAAGTATATTAATATGAAGAAAGGTAAAGAAAAGAACATGAGGTTCTTCTCTGGAAGTTATCTCCGACCCAAGCTAAAAGTCAACTAACAATATAATTTTTCTCGATGCATAAGCTTCACTTCCTCACTCCCTTTTAGATTATTATTTATATAAGGTAATAAGATAATAATAGAAGGTAGAACAACTATTTGATAGCATTTCATGCCAAAAGGGTCAGGATCCCTGGGTTCCATCTAATCCCATGTTTTGGGCTTCCAATATTGCATCACTAATTTTATTGCTTTCCAGCCTTCTCTTTGCGTGAGTAAACAATCCACTTCCTCAATCTCTACCATTGTCGATCAGAAAACAACATTGTCTTCAAGGCTGTAAGTAAAAAATTTTCTGAGTAAATGACATTGCGATACGATTCTTGCTATGAATGCCTTTGGTTATTGCATAGGCGCCACAATGTCATCACTCAAACTAGAATCTCGAATTATCTGCCTCCTGTCTTTGTTGGAGAAGAAAATGCATTTGCCATGGCTTTTTCAGTCTTGATTGTATGATAAATGCAAGGATACGGCCCGACAACAAGTATGTCTTCATTAAGAGAAAGGACCCAAACCTTGGGCCCCCTGAGTCCCTGACAGTCTCGTCGGGCTGCAAAGCCAAATGCATTAGAACTGGTGAACAGGAAGTAGATGAAATTTATTTGCAGCCTCTCAGATTTTAAATTTCGACATGGTGAGCCACAATAATTGAGGATGTGGAAGTTGTGTCCACACTAATCAAGTAATTGGCATGATCAACCTAGGAGTGTCGCTTTGCTGGTTTTAATGTTGTGCTTGTTTGTCAAAAATTGTGTGAGCAATTTCCAAAGTTTGGTGTTGGCTTCCTTGACATTAGCGAGTCAGTGAGCCAACACTTCCTAAATCTTCTCCATGACTGGAACTTGGTATTCCATGCTTGTTGTCATTGCGGCAGGTTGTACCAATTGTTAGGATTAAAAGGTCAACGTAGATAACTGAATATTATTATGCAGAAGAGTAAAGAAAAACACACGAGTTTCTCCACGGGTAATCTCCCGCCGAAGCTGAAAACCAACTGACTTATTTTTCTCAATGCCGAATCTTCATTTGCTCGCTCCCCTTCTGTAAGATTTATCATTTTTATAAGGCATTAAGATAATAAATAAAAAGTAAGACAATTGATAGCCTTTCAGGCCCAAAGGTGAGGATCCCAGGATTCTAGTGAATCCCCATGATTTGGACTTCCACTAATACATAACTGATTTTATTTCTTTCCAGTTTTTCCTTCGTTGAGTAAATATTCCACTTCCTCAAATATCTATCAGACGAATTTTGGCCTGACATTGCCGCCTCTAGAGGCAATTCATTAGTTCCCATTATTTCACAGTAATATAATTTATTTGATAGAGCAGGTGGCTAGAAAAATGAAGGACGAGGATGGATTTTACTACCCTCACAATCTGGATTTTCGGGGCCGCGCGTATCCAATGCACCCATACTTGAATCATCTTGGCTCTGACCTGTGTCGGGGGATCTTGGAATTTGCTGAGGGCCGTCCGCTGGGCAACTTGGGCTTGCCCTGGCTGAAAATACAGCTGGCTAATTTGTATGGAGGTGGTGTTGACAAATTATCTTACGAGGGCCGAATATCGTTTACGGAAAACCATGTGGAGGACATCTTTGACTCTGCCGATCGGCCTCTTGAAGGGAAGCGGTGGTGGTTGGGTGCGGAGGATCCTTTCCAGTGCTTGGCTACTTGCATGAACCTTGCTGAGGCATTGAGAAGCCCGTATCCAGAGAATACGATTTCACATTTGCCTATCCACCAGGTAACATATTGTGACAATCTTAATATGTTTCTATTGAACTTTTGTGAATAAAAGTTTTGGGCATATTTTAGTAAACCTTTATTATCCAATATCCTAGTTGTCCTTCCCATGTTATCATCTTTAACTTTGCTTTTGCTGTTTCTTTTTGTTAATGGCTATATGGTATAGATTAGTGTATCACTTAGTATAATATTGTAATCTTGTAGATTAGGCCTGTTGACATGTTTCCTTCTTTAGTATGATCCTAGACTTGTATATATATCATTGTATTTGCTTCAAGCAATTTATAGCAAATCGAACATATCTATACTTATTCTGAAGTTACTAGTAACGTTGCCATGCTGCTGTTGTTTTTGAGTTCTTGTACACAAGACGTGTTTACTTCTATGACCTCATACTGGGACTTTCTTATGGAACATTTTCTTTTCATCTTAGCTTTTTTTATTGTATTTTGCCTGTGGAGGATTTTAGTAGTTTGTTTTCATTGTCAAAGCCATAAATAAAATGTTTTTCTATGTTTATTTTTCTAGGATGGCTCGTGTAATGGCTTGCAACACTATGCTGCTCTTGGGAGGGACAAGGTAATGGACTCCTTGTTAGTCTTTAATATATGTAATACTTATTCATTGAATTTGGAGTACGTAGTCTGGACACAGTAATTCTCATGCATTTCATTGTTTTGTTATGATTCTGAAAGGATGATATTTTGATTCTTTGTAAACTGAGTTACTTTTGATGTAATATTGCACCATGTTTAATTAGCTGGGAGCAGCTGCAGTCAATCTTGTTGCTGGAGATAAGCCAGCTGATGTTTACTCGGGCATTGCTGCTAGGTAAGCTCTGACACAGACAAATTGACTGATGATAGAATGAATGTGTTGCTTAATCTTGAGGGTTAAATCTAGAAAAATGTAATGTCTGATATATACTCTAATAACTTATGAATTCACTATCTTTTCAAATTATTAATAGTCCCTTAAAGATCGGTGTTTACCTTACAAACAGCTCCTCTTGTTTTCACTTGTGCAATACACAAGTAAATGTCAGGGGCTAATTGTAATTATGAAAAGTACTGTAGCTGTTTTTAACTATATGAAACAGCTGGGTATGTTTTGCAAATATGAAGTTTGATACTGAGTTTATGGATTTAGACAACGGTCAACATTTTGGCATGTATCAGACCAAGTCACTCAGTTGTACTTGGTGTTAAAATTCTAAGGCGTGTAGATAAACTTCACACATACTCAGTAGTACAATTATTTATTAGATTGCATGTAATGCAGAGTTCTCGACATAATGAAGAAAGATGCTGCTGGTGACCCTGCAACTGATCCCAATGTTAAGCATGCTAGGCTGTTACTTGACCAGGTCTCTTCGATTTCCATGTCATTATCCATATCATGCCTTTTTCTAAGGAACAAGGAAAATTGCCAAATATCCCCTAGTGTTATTATGATCCTCTTGAAGTTTCAGTTTAACTCTCTCTTCGCTTGAGGGTAAACTCTATAGAAAATAGAAGATAAGAATGCAGAGTAAATTTTTTTATTTTTTGGTAGTTCTCATTATATATATATATGTATATATATTATTACTGTCGGTACTTAATACCAAAGATTTGGAAAATTTGGTTTGCAAACGATGGTTTTAGCCCATATATTTGGAAAAACTTGATTAGCCCTTTCGACTAAAAAATGACAGCCAACACACTCTTGAATATACACTTACATGATCATTTTTTTTCGAAAAAACAAAGCACTGTATATGTAAGGGTAAATCGTACAATTTAAACACAAGGGCTAAGAGACATATTTGCTACGGAAGGGAATAGAAACCAAATTGTCTACACTAAAGAGGCTAATAAACTGGGGGACAGGTGTGTGTGGAAATTTATATTTTATGAGGTTAATGATATGTTTTCTTTTTGGACGGGTGCTGCAACATTTTGTTTATGTTTCATTAACACGGTTATTGATATGAATGTACATTACTAATGGTTAATGTGATTTTAAGTTGCTGAATTGACTTAATTAATATGATTGTGCATTGTTGAATCTATTTTTTTGGTGCAGGTGGATAGAAAATTAGTGAAGCAAACAGTGATGACATCAGTGTATGGTGTCACTTACATAGGTGCCCGTGATCAAATCAAGAAGAGGTTAAAGGAACGCGGGGTGATTGAGGATGATGCAGAATTATTTTCCTGTGCTTGCTATGCTGCCAGAGTTAGATTCTTTTTCTTCCCATCTAATTACGATGTGTTTGTTACTCTGTGGTTTTGAGCTAATGCTTTCCAAACCCTCCACAGATAACCTTGACTGCGTTGGGAGAAATGTTTGAGGCTGCACGAAGCATAATGGGCTGGCTTGGAGATTGTGCAAAGGTTTGTATATTATGTCTACTTAGTAAATTACTGAACTTCCCTCAAGATTCAGTCTAATTGCAAAAACAATTTTTTTAAAGAAAGAAAAAAGAAAAAGTGCTACCAGAAGCTATTGGGAAGTCCGAATAAGACAAGACATGACAAATAGCACCCTCACTGGGGTGTATTTGTTAAAGAAAATACATAACTTTCCGGATTATTTGTAATTTTGCAAGATAATTTATTCATTGCAGCGTAATATATTTGCATTGAATTATTTCACGTCTGCAGCTTATAGCTACAGAAAACCAACCCGTGCGTTGGACTACGCCACTTGGACTCCCTGTTGTCCAACCCTACCGCAAATTGGGAAGGCACATGGTAATTTATTGTAAATGATAATAATATGATAGATAGCAAAATAATTTCAAATTTGCATATTATTGATTATTGGTTTGTCATTGTGGATGCAGATTAAGACCTCTCTCCAGGTTTTGACTCTTCAACGAGAAACTGATAAGGTAGATATTCATTTTTTTAGGTGCATATAAAGTTTTCTCCAAATAAATTCCCACAATTGTGAGAGATACTGACATAAAGTATATCCAAGATTTAGAATAATTATGAAAGTTTTCCAGTCATCTTACATGGCTGCATGTATTTTGAAGTGTTTCGAACACACTCATACTCATTAAGGTTTTCATTATGCTAGGGTTCAGTTTCAAGAAGTCAAAAAATTGTGAAGGAGCGTTTTATATAGCAAATACCTTGTGAGCACAAATTTATGAAAGACAAATAGTGAAAACGTTGAAAGATAATTTATTTTCTTATAATTATAGACTAAAACATTAGGAAGTGTCTTCATTGTTATAATTTATACATTACAAAAGGACAGGACTAAAAGAAAAGAATCAAACGAAAATATTCAATAAGATAACAAGCAGAGTAAATATAAGCATATGATCACTCTTCTTACATGCTGCCTTATAATTGAAGGTGATGACAAAGCGGCAGAAAACAGCTTTTCCTCCAAATTTCGTGCACTCTCTCGATAGCTCCCATATGATGATGACAGCTACTGCCTGCTCTGAGGCAGGTTTAAATTTTGCAGGTCCGTAAAATCAAACCTGACCACATTTATTTCCATTCATTATCGTAATGTGCTATTGAAAGGTTCTAACAGCTCTCACCATGTTTGTTTGCAGGTGTGCATGATTCATATTGGACACATGCATGTGATGTGGACAAAATGAACAAGATCCTCAGGGAAAAGTTTGTCGCTCTATATGAGGCTCCTATTTTGGAAAATGTAAGCCTTTTTTTCTTTAATTAACATAGGTGACGTGATTGAACCATGAGGTGTAATCACATATGCCATTTTCATCAGTGAGTTGCTTTTAGTTCAAGGATTAGTCAACATTTATTCAATCTATTTATGAAAATTTCCAACTCCCTTTAAATCTACCAATGCCCCCTTGACAATTATCACTGCACTTCCACTTGGCACCAATTGGAATATATAACACATTGTCTTGTTGAAGGTAATAAGTAAATACAAACCTTGCGAATAGTTTTGTAATTTGCTCATGAAATTAATTTTCTTGACCACAATTCTCGTTGCAGCTGTTGGATGGTTTTCAAAAGTCCTTCCCGAAGCTAATATTCCCCCCACTGCCCGAACGAGGGGATTTCAACCTAAAGGAAGTTCTCGAGTCTACCTATTTCTTCAACTAGGCCTACATATCTTACTTTCCCATTGTTTCGGTGGATTCCTATACATCAATAGTCAATTAGGTAACTGTTCACGGAGTCCATAATACTACAATGCGTGAAAGAGGTAGAAAGAGACTGCTGGATCTTGGATTGCCATTATTCAAAATATTATAAGATGCTAGGCTTTGGTTAATGGTAAAGATGAACAATCCTTTTCAGACATCACTTGGTGATTTAATATCCTGTTCTTATGGCCCTCGAGGATCTTATAGTGACGGTGTTGGTGCAAGCTTCGCCTATGGCCTGAACAAGAGGTGGTGTGTGTTATCGAGAGTGAATTAAATTAAGGGTACTTTGTACTTCGAGGGCTTGTGATTCCAGTTTGGTATGAGTTGTAAATATGTTTCGATTTTGTTTGGGGCATATCATATGACAATGTGGCTAGAATTGAGTTTAGAAGTCTCTACTTTTGGAGTTATTAAGTTGTATAGTGGATCTTCAGTGTACTGTTTCGTATAGACGAGAACGTTTGAAGTCTAAGGAATATTTTTCTAAGCATAAAATAAGAGGAAGGTGAACACTTTTCAGAATGCTTGTTGTGTGTGTTATACTTGGTGTGTTGTTGAATATTTTGTTTATTCAATGAGAGCTTGCATAGTTGCATGGAGATGTTTGTACATGTTTATTGTAATGCCACATCTTTTTAGACCCAATTTTTTTTTTTTTGATACAATTTTAGACCCAATTTTCGCTGTAAACATATTCAGCTTTCACAACACTTAACAAGTACAATACCAAAAATATCGATTTTTACGGGATAAATAATGTAAAGAATGAGATCTCATTTTTTATTTCCTTTTTATGTTTGATGTCGCTCAGTTTTATAAAATATGTAAGTTCTGAAGATTGATAGTAAATTGAAGAATTTTTTTAAGTTTTCAGGATTCAGACAATCAAAATAGTATTTAAGAGAAGTTTGATTTAATCACTTCAAAGTATTTTTTTATTTGGAGTTGATTTTTGATAATACGTGTTTATTATGGCAGATCTATTGAAAGGAACTTGAGATTCACTTTTCATAATCACGAGAGAAAGATCGCGGACTTGGACATCAAAAAGACTTACCATAAGTACATCCTGACTTGGAGAAAAAGCAAAATAGGAGATTTAGCAAACATAGTTCGATAAAAGGAGGACGAGACGCATGTTGAGGATCACTTTTTTGATTACCTTTTGCTTAGTGAAATCTGGATTAATTTTTCACATATATTTTTGGGGAGTGAAGTGAGAATAGAGAGAGATACTTATGAGAGAAAATCGAGAATGGACGGAGGTTCATTCTAAAATAGTTTGAGGGATTCAAACGAGAAAAACCACAAGGGATTTGTGGTCGGATAAGTAGTAGTGCAAATCATTGTTCTAGAAGAGTGTAGAAGGAGTCCATACTGTAAACCCTTGAATAATGTTCGGGATATTTGCATTAATGAAAGAGATCCGAAGGGAGAGTGGGACGCTCTCCTGAAGGTTCGTTTTTCAGTGATACAGCTTCCGCGATTGATTGAATCTTCTTTGATTTCTGTTTGATTAATTTCTATGCAACTCTGACTACTTTGTGTACAAGTATCAAATTTCAAATGACAATAGTGTAAGCATGTATACAACAATAATATGGTGTTAAGTTTGTACCTACTATGAAGGTGCATGTGTAATGTACCCGACATTCCTTAACTTCAGTGGGGGACACAAAATTTTTTATCAACCAGGGCAATATAAAATAAAAATAGTACTCAAAATTTTGTATGTCGTGCTCATTACATACAAATGTACCTTCTGCAAGAAATTTTTTTTATTCACATTCTTCTTCTCTAATTTTTTGGTGTTTTTAGGCCGTGCTTGTTTATCAAATTTCTAGAAAAAAAAAACTAGGAAAAATTTTATCCCAATTTAAAATATAACTCAACCTCATTATCCTCAATATTATCAATATAATTTAATAATATCATTCAATTATTCTTACACATTACATCAACTTTAATTCACTATTCATCCACTCACATAATATTAACTACCTATCATTTCTAATCTTTTATCTCCTACGTTTACATCAAATCAATTTTAATTATTTTATTTTAAATATTATTTTAATATATTCTTAAATTCCAACTAAAAACTAATCATACTAACTCTTTTCAAATAAACTTTAGTTAGCGACAATTTTTTTTTTCCTATTTAATTTTTAAATAAGCACTACCTTACTTGCCCTGACCAAATCTATAGTATTGACAATATTTGATCATTCATTTATAATTCTAGTGATAGCTCATTACTTACATCTAAAATTTGTCGCATTAGAAGAAGACAAAATATGAAATCAAAGGATTGTCTGTGCACAAGCAACAAATTATGTTGTCCTCTTTGATCAGCAAAAGCCTCATCCTCAATTACCATTTCAATAAATGTAATTATAGAAGTAACATGATATAATGTTCAACTTCATTTTATATAGACTGTTAAAAAAACTTAAAATTATTCCTATTATCTCTTGCAAGTTCTCCATCTTTGTCTTTTCTTCTTAAGTACTATTTAGAAATTATAACTACATATGTTTAGTAGCAAAAGTTCAGCCTGGGCAACTGCCCAGGCTGGCCATAGTGTAAATCCGCCCTTGCTTAACTTTGTGGTGATTTGAATGTTTCATTTGGTTTATGTAAAAAATTCATTTTTTTTTTTTTTTTTCATTGTCACCCTATTTGTCATTCTTCTATTTATAATATTCGAATGCGTTGAGCATAAGTGACTGGCTTTAATGTTTTGGAATTCTATGGCAAAAAAATTGCTTCACATTCATGCTTGAATATAAATTAATTTTTTTATACAAAAATGACTAGGCTTCGATGTCATTTAATGTATAGACACTGAATTCATACATCAATATTATAAATGTTTCTTCTTCTAATTTCTAAATTTTTTAACTTTTTATTTGTATTTTATTTTTTAAATATGATATATCAAATTAACTATCTTTTAACGGTATTTGATTTGGCATCCATACTATATATATACACACACATATAACTCAAAATAGTGATATATATCCTTATAAAAAATTGATTTATTTATCTAACGACTTAAGAAAATATCAAATACTTATCTTATAAAGTAATAGAAATTTATGTGTATTACATACCATAACATAATTATTTTATTTTGAAGCAAAATTAAGTATGAACATCAAATTAATATAAAAGAATGTTATTAAAGTTTATGTCTCAACTTAAATAAAGACTACATAAAGATTGAACATTATAATGATTTTAAAAAAGCAAAAAAAATTTAATAATCATTATTATTATTGTATATCATAAATTTTAAATATATACTCCTACACATTGTATGTTAATTTATTGAATGTTATAATGTTGATGATATTTTAAAAATATTAAATGAGAGAAGAAAATTGTATAAATATAAAATATAATTACGATATAATAAGGGTGTTACTGAACACCGTCCCTCTTGGGACCGTTCTACCCCTGGCATTTTTTCCCAAAAAACTCAAAAATTCGTAGAATTTTCTGAAATTCCGGCGATTTCCGGCGAAAATGAGCGATGACGAGGTAAGAACTAACACCGACCAGCCGGCGATACCAACCGAACTATCGTCGGCTGGCCGGCGATTGCGGCCACACACGGTGACGGTCGGATGATTTGCCAAGCCGGCCACCGTACAATTGTAATTAACACTGCATTAGTTAATTGGTAATTTCTTTACTATATACATTAGTTGAAACCGAAAATATCGACTGGTGGCCCGGGGGCTGGCCACCAGTCAAATTGGCGGCAGGTTTGCGTTCGCGATCGGCCATGGCCGGTGGCCGATTGTGACTTTCTTCAAGTATGATCGGCCGCAGATCGCGACTGACAATGGCCACTCGCGGCGAGATATGCCGGCCGCCGCCACGCAAGGTCGGTTTTCTTAGCCGGTCGCACCTCTCGTCGGTCGTGGTCGCCGGTCGACTAGAGTGCAGAAACTCTAAAAAATAATTTTTTTTTTCCAAACGATAATATTACTATTACTCAAATAAAAGAAAGTTTACAACCGGATGGCCAACTAGCCATAATACAACCCAGAGAACCACACCCTACCGGTGGCCTAGAACAAGAACAACAAGCACAACAGGCATAACCAAGGTTAGACAACCTGTGCACTAAAAGAAAACAAAGAAACCAACAGCAACATAAAATCGAAGCCACTGAACCGAAACGGACCTAGCTATGGACATAGCAAACTACTAACTACCAAAAAAGCAAAGGGAAACAGAAAGAAAAAACAGAAGAAGCTAGATTAAAAAAAGCTTGAGGCCTCGGACCATTCTCTTTGAGCCATCTTGGAGATAGCCACTTCTGGTAACCACTCTTTTTTAAAGATCCACAGATTTCGGGACTTCCATAGCCACCATAAGATATAGGTGGACAGTGAAATACGAGCTTCAGTGACTGGATTCATTTTCATCTCTGCAATATTCCACCACCAGCCTCTAAAGCCTGTTGTCTTAGCTTCAGTGAAGTCCCAAGATAAAGGAGCTGCTTTCCAAACCATCTGAGCTCTTCTACATTCAAAAAATAAATGAGTAACAGATTCCAAGTCATCCCCGCAGCAACTACACACAGGGTCAACTTCCATTCTCCTCTACTGCAGGTTAAGAGCAACTGGTAAGTTATTGGTAAAACATTTCCAGAGGAAGTGTCTCAACTTTGGTTTGACTTTCATTGTCCAGCACCTCATTCTGGCTTTTCTATCCAAAGTCTGAGTGTAGCTACAACTAGGAGAGTCTAACTGCAAGACCTTTTGATCAACAACTGTCTTATAGGCAGAAGCCACAGAGAAAATGCCCTTAGCATCAGGACACCAGATCCATCTGTCTCTGGTCTCAGGGTTCAGAGTTTTCATGTTTAGAATGGCAGTACAAGATTCTGGTGTAAACAAATGTTTCAGTAACTCACAGTTCCAAGATCTCCCA